AACACGTTATCCCCACAAAACACCTCACATCGCCAAAACGCTGTCCCCACAAATCACCTGATATCACCAACACGCTGTCCCCACAAAACACTTCACATCATCAACACGCTGTCCCAACAAAACACTTCACATCACCAACACTTAACCCCTACAAAACACGTCACATCAGTAACACGTTATCCCCACAAAACACCTCACATCACCAACGCGTTATCCCCGCAAAACACCTCACATCACCAACACGTTATCCCCACAAAACATCTCACATCACCAACACATCATCCCCACAAAATACCTCACATCACCAACACGTTATCCCCAGAAAACACCTCACATCACTAACTTGCTATCCCCACAAAAACACCTTACATCACCAACACGTTATCCCCACAAAACACCTCACATCACCAACACGATGTCCCCACAAAACACCTCACATCGCCAAAACGCTGTCCCCACAAATCACCTTACATCACCAACACGCTGTCCCCACAAAACACTTCACATCACCAACACGCTGTCCCCACAAAACACTTCACATCACCAACACGTAACCCCTACAAAACACGTCACATCAGTAACACGTTATCCCAACAAAACACCTCACATCACCAACACGTTATCCCCCCAAAACACCTCACATCACCAACACGTTATCCCCAAACAACACCTCACATCAACAGCACGCTATCCCCACAAAAACACCTCACATCATCAACACGCTATCCCCAGAAAAAACATCTCATCACGATCACGCTGTCCCCACAAAACACCTCACATCACCAACACGTTATCCCCACAAAACACCTCACATCACCAACAGGTTATCCCCACAGAACACCTCACATCAGCAACACGTTATCCCCACAAAAAAACTCACATCACCAACACGTTATCTCCACAAAACACCTAATATCACCAACACGCTGTCCCCACAAAACACCTCACATCACCAACACGCTATACCCTCAAAACACCTCACATCACCAACACGTTATACTCCACAAAACAACTTCACATCATCACCAACACGCTATCCCTAAAAACACACTCACATCACCAACACGTTATCCCCACAAAACACCTCACATCACCAACACGTTATCCCCACAAAACACCTCACATCACCAACTCGTTATTCCCTAATACATAACACCTCACATCACCAACACGTTATCCCCACAAATCACCTCACATCACCAACACTTTATCCCCACAAAACACCTCACATCACCAACTCGTTATCCCCAAACTCTCAAATTACCAACACGCTATCCCCACAAAACATCTCACATCACCAACTCGTTATCCCCAAACTGCACCTCACATCACCAACACGATATCCCCACAAAACACCTCACATCACCAACACGCTATCCCCACAAAACACCTCACATCACCAACACGCTATTCCCATAAAACACCTCACATCACCAACACGTTATCCCCACAAAACACCTCACATTACCAACACGTAACCCCTACAAAACACGTCACATCAGTAACACGTTATCCCAACAAAACACCTCACATCACCAACACGTTATCCCCATAAAGCACCTCACATCACCAACTCGTTATCCCCAAACTGCACCTCACATCACCAACTCGTTATCCCCACAATACACCTCACATCACCAACACGCTGTCTCAACAAAACACCTCACATCACGAACACATTATCGCCACAAAACCCCTCAGATCACCAACACGCTATCCCCTCAAAACCCCTCACATCACCAACACGCTGTCTCAACAAAACACCTCACATCACGAACACATTATCGCCACAAAACCCCTCAGATCACCAACACGCTATCCCCACAAAGCACCTCACATCACCAATTCGTTATCCCCAAACTGCACCTCACATCACCAACACGCTATCCCCACAAAGCACCTCACATCACCAACTCGTTATCCCCAAACCGCACCTCACATCACCAACTCGTTATCCCCAAACCGCACCTCACATCACCAACACGCTGTCCCCACAATACACCTCACATCACCAACACGCTGTCTCAACAAAACCCCTCACATCACCAACACGTTATCCCCACAAAACACATCACATCACCAACACGTTATCCCCACAAAACTCCTCACATCTCCAACACGTTATCCCCAAACAACACCTCACATCACCAACACGTAATCCCCACAAAACACCTCACATCACAAACACGCTGTCCGCACAAAACACCTCACATCACCAACACGCCGCTATCGCCACAATATATATCCCCTGATATAGTTAGTGAGTAATTTTGGACACGATTGCAGTCCACTTACTCAACATATCGATAATCCCATTGATTTCCTTTGCAGAGTGCATTAAACCTTGAAACTAGGAATCTCGACATGGCACTGGTCAAAAACTGTTTCCAGAAAATCGAGTTAACGAAATGTCACTATACAATCTATAGGTCTAGATGCTTGGAAATGTGTCGAATGTACTTATATTAACGTATACATACGGGTGACGAAATAAACGACAAACAACACTGTAAAACTTTATTGAAGCTTTATTGGAGTTAGACTGAAGCTTATTCTCTGAAGGTTTACTAACTTTCATATAAGCAAAGAAGGTTATCCACAATTATTGGGGGAGGAAAATAGCATGTATCAACGACTGTGAGGCAGCCCATATTGATGTGTTTACTCTGTGTGATAACTCATATGAATATTGTTCATAATAACAGATGGTTGGACTGACAAATGTCCGGATTAACACATTTCCAGTTTAACAAATTCCTAATTAGTAAATATCCTTCTTTACACTTGTCCGGAATAACAAATTTCCAGTTTAACAAAGTCCTGATTAGTAAATATCCTTCTTTACACTTGTCCGAAATAACATGTTTCCAATTTAACAAGTTCCTAATTAGTAAAGCCGCCATGTAGCTGGAATATTGCTGAGTGCGGCGTAAAACTAAACCCACTCACTCGCTAATTAGTAAATGTCCTTCTTTACACAAATGTTCTGATGAGCGAGTTCAGAGAGTAGTGTTGAAGTGGATGTCGTTGAAGCTTGTAGAAGGTTGAGACGCTACAGTGAGTGGTGTTGAAGTGGACGATGTCGTAGCTTGTATACGGTGGAGGCCGTTCAGTGAGCGGCGTTCAGGATGATGTTGTCCAACCAAGATTTATACGGTTGAGGCCGTTCAGGGAGTGGTGCTGAAGTGCAGGGTGTCAAAGCCTGTATGCAGTATAGGCAGATGGGCGAGTGGTGTAGGAGTATGTGTTGCCCAAGCTTGTATACTGTAGGTGTGGTGTAGGAGTGTGTGTTGCCCAAGCATGTATACGGTAGATGTGGTGTAGGAGAGTGTGGTGCCCAAGCTTGTATACGGTAGATGTGGTGTAGGAGAGTGTGTTGCCCAAGCTTGTATACGGTAGATGTGGTGTAGGAGTGTGTGTTGCCCAAGCTTGTATACGGTAGATGTGGTGTAGGAGCGTGTGTTGCCCAAGCTTGTATACGATAGATGTGGTGTAGGAGAGTGTGGTGCCCAAGCTTGTATAGGTAGATGTGGTGTAGGAGAGTGTGTTGCCCAAGCTTGTATACGGTAGATGTGGTGTAGGAGTGTGTGTTGCCCAAGCTTGTATACGGTAGATGTGGTGTAGGAGTGTGTGTTGCCCAAGCTTGTATACGGTAGATGTGGTGTAGGGCGATGTGTTGCCCAAGCTTGTATACGATAGATGTGGTGTAGGAGAGTGTGTTGCCCAAGCTTGTATACGGTAGATGTGGTGTAGGAGAGTGTGTTGCCCAAGCTTGTATACGGTAGATGCGGTGTAGGAGTGTGTGTTGCCCAAGCTTGTATACAGTAGATGTGGTGTAGGAGCGTGTGTTGCCCAAGTTTGTATACGGTAGATGTTGTGTAGGAGTGTGTGTGTTGCCCAAGCTTGTATACGGTAGATGTGGTGTAGGAGCGTGTGTTGCCCAAGCTTGTATACGATAGATGTGGTGTAGGAGCGTGTGTTGCCCAGCTTGTATACGGTAGATGTGGTGTAGGAGAGATGTGTTGCCCAAGCTTGTATACGGTAGATGTGGTGTAGGAGCGTGTGTGGTGCCCAAGCTTGTGTACGGTAGACGTGGTGTAGGAGAGTGTGTTGCCCAAGCTTGTATACGGTAGATGTGGTGTAGGAGTGTGTGTTGCCCAAGCTTGTATACGATAGATGTGGTGTAGGAGTGTGTGTTGCCCAAGCTTGTATACGATAGATGTTGTGTAGGAGTGTGTGTTGCCCAAGCTTGTATACGGTAGATGTGGTGTAGGAGAGTGTGTTGCCCAAGCTTGTATACGGTAGATGTTGTGTAGGAGAGTGTGTTGCCCAAGCTTGTATACGGTAGATGTTGTGTAGGAGAGTGTGTTGCCCAAGCTTGTATACGGTAGATGTGGTGTAGGAGTGTGTGTTGCCCAAGCTTGTATACGGTAGATGTGGTGTAGGAGCGTGTGTTGCCCAAGCTTGTATACGATAGATGTGGTGTAGGAGAGTGTGGTGCCCAAGCTTGTATACGGTAGATGTGGTGTAGGAGAGTGTGTTGCCCAAGCTTGTATACGGTAGATGTGGTGTAGGAGATGTGTGTTGCCCAAGCTTGTATACGGTAGATGTGGTGTAGGAGAGTGTGTTGCCCAAGCTTGTATACGGTAGATGTGGTGTAGGAGAGTGTGTTGCCCAAGCTTGTATACGGTAGATGTGGTGTAGGAGCGTGTGTGTTGCCCAAGCTTGTATACGGTAGATGTGGTGTAGGAGAGTGTGTTGCCCAAGCTTGTATACGGTAGATGTGGTGTAGGAGCGTGTGTTGCCCAAGCTTGTATACGGTAGATGTGGTGTAGGAGAGTGTGTTGCCCAAGCTTGTATACGGTAGATGTGGTGTAGGAGTGTGTGTTGCCCAGGCTTGTATACGGTAGATGCAGTAGCTGATCATGAAACCCAGCGGGACTATGAGTACACGGGTATTTCAGAGCACGTGTCGGGGCAGGTTGAGAGCCACCAGCAAGGTGGCACAAGACACCATCAACCAGCTGCAGCTGCAGGCAGTGGCAGATGAAGCTGTAGAAAACAGAAAAAGGTTCAATGTCAAATATCAAGGGACCTCATTTCTGCCCAAATATGTGTGTTGTAGAAATTAAAAACGTCGAATCTGACTTTGTCAGTTTGTTGTAAAAAGGCACGCTATGCAATGTTCAAGCAGCATGACTGTTATAAACCCAAATACTCTGGACCAGACACACGGAATTTACATTATCGATTTATTCTATCGATCTATGCAACTGGGTATCTATTACATGCATTAGACTATTAAAGGGGAAATTATTGCGATAGGGATATTATATTGCGACCAATTATTGCAATAGTATTGCAATAGTTTCTTTCTCCTTGAACTGTCTCATTTGAAGTCATTTCCCAAATGAATGTAAAATTTAAATGAAATAAAAACTAGTCAAAGTTGTTTCAGTCTCTTTTAATAACTGACTAAAAACTTGAAACGCAGAAAGAGTTAAAACATAAACTTATAGTTATTCACAATTTCAAACTCCGACTGGCATACCGTGTTTGCCGATATGTTTGTTTAAGAGGTAACATGGGCAGATAACTCTAAATCAAAGTGAACGAATCTGGTACTTCCTGTATTTTGTGCTGCTGCGCATTTATCAACGGAAGTCAATTCCTAAACTATCGACAGTCACACATACTATCGATGCATCGATAGTTTTCGTTTCTACCATCGATTAATTGCTATCAGAGACTCAACAATTGCAATCCATCGATAGTTCGATGCATCGTTACAGCACAAGTTATAGAACCCACTAACCACACTCAAGGTAAAAATGGTAATATATGAACCACATGTACTGTCGGAAATAGAAAAAAACTGGGGTTTTTTCACATTTATATGTACAATTTAAGTAGTTAATATGTGAAAGTATGAAATGTATGTTAAACTAAGTTCGGCCTAACGACAGTCTCAGTGGTAGGGAGATAGGAAACGTAAAAAAAGGACTTTAGTGAGGAGAGATTAGTGCCGAAATGAGCAATGCGGGTGTTTTCTGTCCAAAGCCACTTGTTTGGAACACACCATGGCTTTATGCAAATTAGAGTGCGATGATGTTGTATTACAAAGGACACTTTTTAAATGCCCATTTTGAATTTAGACTTAGCTTCCTGATAAACGATAGCTGACGTAAAAAATAAACTGAAACTATTAAGGATGTAGCTGCCAGGGAGTCTCACTATCACTATGAAAAGGAACATGTAGGAGGGGTCGTCTCAAAAGCAAAACCAGGACGGGTGTCGCAGACGGTGGTTGGGGGCGAGCTGGGGCATAGAGATATGAGCTAAGATAAGATAATCTTTTAGGGTAATTAAACTGGGCAAGTAAACGGCATGTCATAACAATTTACAAATAATATTCAGTCCTGTCGATCTTCGGGTACTCATGCCACCTATATATTTTAAGGCATTTAATACGATGGGAGACTTTAGCTTTTCTATGGGTATCATAATGGTATCATCATATCATACTATGGTTTTATCATAAATTTTATGAAAGAAAGACACGTGAGATGTTAATCAATAGATGAGACATACACAACACATAAGAAAAAGCATAAAATTTATTTTAGATAATCCCTTGCGCCTGAGGCAGCCCATGGTCATACCTGGCTGAGCAACCTAATTGCCATCTATAGCCTGATCTATTGTTTTGCCCGATTTTACGAGTAAACATGCTTTTCTGGATATCCTTTTATGCATCCCGCTGAACGCCCAGTTATCCTGATGTGGGTTATTTCGACATATGCTATTTGCAATTGTGGAAATTTTAAGGATACAGAGTAACAGCCTAAAACATTATGTCTTTCAGTGGCATTTAGAAGTTGTACATAGATGTCCAAGATATTTGTATGGATTAAACTTCTTTTTTATTTCCCTCACGACGTTTCGGGAATTTTCCACGTCCCTTCATCAGTTCACCTGACGTTTCGGGACATTCCAGGGTTCACCTGACGTTTCGGGACATTCCAGGTCCCTTCATCAGTTCACCTGACGTTTCACATTCTCCCTTCATCAGACGACGTTTCGGGACATTCCCCTTCAGGTCCATTCTCCTTCATCAGTTCACCTGACGTTTCGGGGGACATTCCAGGTCCTTTTCATCAGTTCACCTGATGAAGGGACCTGGAATGGTCCCGAAACGTCGTGAGGGAAATAAAAAAGAAGTTTAATCCATAAAAATATCTCGGACAGCCTAAAAACAGATTTGTTTCTATTTCCGACAGTACTTACGATTATCCCAAAGCTTTGCATCAGTGTGAGAGTTACGATCATCTTAATGCTAATAGTACCCTTGTCCCTAAATAGACATCTTACCATCCATCGCCATCTTAGCTTCGAGGACAGCCTGCAGCAGCTCGGCTCTACCGTGCACTCTTTCTGACATAGTCTCTGTTTTCATCATCGCCTTCATCTCTTTCACAGCCTTTGCAGTCTTTTCTCTTCCGAAACTAAACAGACTTGTAACAAGTGGTACAAAATTAGACACCGTTTTGATTCCAGAGAAAATATTTCCAAGTATGTTCTTCTTCTTCCACCACTTTTTAAATCCATGGGCTTTCCGATCCCGTCCCTATCGGTAGACGCCATCTGTAAAATGATGGACATCACCACACAGACAATGAGGAGTTCCGACCTTACTCCCATGATCACCTGCAAATAAAACAAAACACATTTGTCAGTGTACGGTAAGCAAACGCGGACATGTCTAAGATGACAGTGAACTGACGTCACTGACTTTATCGTTAAGATGAGGGAACGTGTACGCATACACAGACCATACCGCTTGTATCCAACCTCGTAGGGACGGTGGGGTAGCCTAGTGGTTAGTGCGTTTGCTAGTCACGCCGACGACTCGGGTTTGATTCCTAAATTGGTTACAATTTTTAAGCCCATTTCTGGTGTCCCCCTAATGATAATGATGCAACACTGCAGCGTAAAAGAACTCTTACTCACTCACTCACTTACTCACTCACTCATCCACTCATGACTGTATCAGTGAGTGAGTGAGTTTAGTTTTACGCCGCTGTTAGCAATAGTACAGCAATGTCACGGCGGGGGACACCAGAAACGCATTGTACCCATGTGGGGAATCAAACCCGGGTCTTCGGCGTGACGAGCGAACGCTTGTACCACCAGGCTACCCCACCGCCCTCCATGACGGTATCAAACGTCGGATAACTCGTTAAATATTGTCCGTTTCATCAAACTTCAATTTATGGAATTAATACAACGTTATATATTACAGTATATTAAGACAGGAAATGAGTCGTCACCTTGTACACTGTCCGCTTTCCCTGTCCCTTCGTCTCAAGTCAGTCGGTGAAATACACATCCTAATCTTATATATTCAAGATGAGGGGCGTTTCTTAGGTACAGTCACGAGTATATATAAGAATCACATACCCTTTAAGATGAGGTTTAAACCGACCTTCAGCAACCCTTGCTTGTAGTTTGAATGAGTGAGCGGGTGAGTTGGGGTTTACGCTTTTAGCAATATTTGAGCATTATCACGGCGGGGGACACAAGAAATGGGCTTCACACATTGTACCCATAATGGGAATCGAATCCGGGCCTTCGGCGTGACGAGCGAAAGCTTTAACCATTAGGTGACCCCACCGCCCCGTCACTCACTCACTCACTCACTCACTCACTCACTCACTCACTCACTCACTCACTCACTCACTCACTCACTCACTCACTCACTCACTCACTCACTCACTCACTCACTCACTCACTCACTCACTCACTCACTCACTCACTCACTCACTCACTCACTCCTATCCCCACAAAACACCTCACATCACAACTTCTTATCTCCACAAAACACCTCACATCACCAACTTGCTATATCTACAAAACACTTCACATCACCAACTTTCTACCCCAACAAAACACCTGACATCGCCAAAACGCTGTCCCTACAAAACACCTCACATCACCAACACGTTATCCCCACAAAACATTTCACTTCACCAACTTTCTATCCCCACAAAACACCTCACATCGCCAACATGCTGTCCCTACAAAACACCTCACATCGCAAACTTGCTATCACCACAAAACACCTCACATCACCAACTTCTTATCCCCACAAAACATCTCACATCATCAACTTCTTATCTCCACAAAAAACCTCACATCACCAACTTGCTGTATCTACAAAACACCTCACATCACCAACTTCCTATCCCCACAAAACACCTCACATCACCAACACCTTATACCCACAAAACACCTCACATCACCAACACGTTATCCCCACAAAAACACCTAACATCACCAACACGTGATCACCACAAAACTCCTAACATCACCAACACGTGATCCTCACAAAACACCTCACATCACCAACCAGCTGTCCCCACAAAACACCTCACATCACCAACACGTTATCCCCACAAAACATTTCACTACACCAACTCTCTATCCCCACAAAACACCTGACATCGCCAACACACTGTCCCTACAAAACACCTCACATCGCAAACTTGCTATCCCCACAAAACACCTCACATCACCCACTTGCTATCCCCACAAAACATCTCACATCAGTAACACGTTATCCCCACAAAACACCTAACATCACCAACACGTTTTCCTCACAAAACAACTCACATCACCAACACGTTATCCCCACAAATCAACTCACATCACCAACTTCATATCTCCACAAAACACCTCACATCACCAACTTGCTATCCCCACAAAACACTTCACATCACCAACACGTTATGCCCACAAAAACACCTCACACCACCAACACGATATCCCCAGAAAACACTTCACTTCACAACCACAAAACACCTCACATCACCCACTTGCTATCCCCACAAAACACCTCACATCACATACTTCCTATCCCCACAAAACGCCTCATCACTCACCAACTTACTACCCCCACAAAACACCTCACATCACGAAATTGCTATCCCCACAGAACACCTCACATCACCAACTAGGCTATCCCCACAAAACACCCTCTACACGCTATCCCCAACATCAGCCACTTGCTATCCCAACAAAACACCTACATCACCAACTTTTCCCCAAAAAACATATCCACGCATAAAACACCTCACATCACATGCTT